GGAGGAGGCTCCGTCCCCCCCGCTTGAGGGGGATTCCTGCAGGATGAGGCGCTCTTATAGCCCCCGTCCCGAGGCGGACCCGGCTCCCGCGTCCTGCTGGAAGGCTCTAAGCGAGGCCCGACGGCTGGCCCGGGCGTAGGAAGCAGCTGGTCCTTAGTACAATGGGGGAAGAGTAGCCACGTTTCAAAGTAATTAGAGATGGGGGAGAGCGGAGAGGGAGGGAGGAGAGATAATGTGTAAACATACGCATTTTGAAAGTCTTTTCTAAAGCTTTAATTATTCTCACACCGAAAAAAAGCCTTCCAGCAGCATATTTTTTCCCTTGGTTGATGAGAACTGCATCAAGCAGACTCAACCATTTTAAGACTGCCTCAAGAAAGAACAATTTCAAATACCTGATTGTACCACGTGACCCAGAATTCCTGGGATTTCCAAAGAAAGAAAAAGGAAAGTAAATTATGTGTCGTGTAGAAATATCTCCTGGCTCCTTTCCTTAGGCATGCTCCACCACACTAAGAAGCACTTGCACCAAGGAAAAAGTATGTGGGGAGGGAGCAAGACGGAGAGGAAGTGGCTACATCTGTGCTAATTAAGGCTATCAAAAAAACCCCATCTAGTTCATTCTAACAGTTCTGACATAGGGAAAGTTGCCTCACCTTTTGTTGCTTTAAGGCTGAAGTTCCTGGGGCGCTTACTTAGCCCATGGGGTTTTCAGCTCCAGCCACCTTCCTATTTCTGCTCCTTCAAGCCTCCAGCTGTTGCTGTAGCCACGTGAAATAATTTTGAAATAGTTATTATTGCAATTTTTCCCCAGCAGGCCAGTTAGCCATGTGAGGTGCAGTGCAAGGGCAGATGGAGAAAAACAAGAAGCACCTTTGGGTTAATGAAATCATTTTGAAGAGCACCACTGCAGCACAGGAATCTAATGCTGATCCTCAAAACTCAGTTGCCTTGTAAGTGCTGTAAGGGATCTCATCTAACAGCAGTGCTCATTTAAGTAAAACCATTGCTACTACCTGCACCAGGGCAGCAGTGAAGGAGACTGTCAATACATGAGAAACCATCACCAGATTGTTTTTCAGATATCCTAAAAGCTTAGTTCCACTCAACTGTTTCTTCACATGCTTATCCTTACAAACGCCACCCTGCTCTTGGGCTTCTGCCATTTACAAGTAGTATCTTTCCTACATGTATACTTCCATTCCTTCCTCCCATGGTGCTGCTTCCAGACATTAATGTCTGGAAATGCGCAGCTAGGGTTCCCAAACAACCTTAAGTCTGCCCTAGAGGGAAGGATTTATGAAAATGTCCTCCTCGTTTAATATAAGCTGGGACCACAAACAATGAAATGCCTCAATCATGGTAGTACGACTGCAGAATTTCCAGCCTACTGTTAGCCAAACATAACCCACTGAGTGCTGTGTTCTTTTATTCTCATATTTCTGATTAGGCACACAACATAATGAAAGCCTCGCTCCCTATTCTTTCGTAAGACTGCATGACTCACCACTTATGTAAGCCTTGCACGGGAGCTTACGGATGATACTGCCTCCTGATTGCAATAAGTGTAAGCCTTCAACCGCCTCGTTCTGCACAAGCAAAACAGAAGACTAGCTCACCTTACATGTTAGGAGCACAGTAGCTCCAGGAACCCAAGAAAAGTATGGATTTTGTAGGGAACTATGATAATACTTAGTTAACAACATAACATTCTAGATGAACTGTCTAAAATATTCAGTATGTCGTCCTTTTCCTTCTCCCTTTCAAATGAGTGTATAAACAGGTTGGCCTATAGAATTCAAAATCAGGCATAGCTTATAGTTGAGAACGATTCTTACGAGCATAGCTTATAGTTGAGAACGATACAATTCTTGTATGGTCTCCCTCTTCATCTTTGATGCCATTGTAATTAATACAGGACACCAGTACTGAAATATCACGGCTATTATCAGCCGCATACTAATATTAGCAGATAGAGAAAGCTCATTTGGGAACTTCCACCAAGCATTTCACAGCCTTAACACATCTGGATTTAAATCAAAGATACGGAGATGAAGAATATACTTTTTCTTCCCCTTAATTTACCAATATTTGTTTCATTTTAGCACTGGCAATAAAGAAACCAGTGGACAGAGGAGGCGGGCAGTTGCATCTTTCTCCGAACAGCTGCCCTGACACTTCTCAAATACTCTTTGCATCCAAGTTCTGTTATTCTTAGTTCAGTTACTCACTACAGATGTCTTATTTTTTCTGGAAAAGAGAAAGAAATGAAAACTTTTCTGCTTCCTCAATACAGCTTAACACACTGCAGTCCTCACTGTGGCTTTTGCAGGCAGGGGCCTGCACACTAGAACACACAGTTTTGCAGGCAGGGGAACACACTAGAAGCACAGCAGCTGTCTCATCCCCATTTGAAAATGAAGAGAGAAATGACTCTTGTCAGACATGACCTTGCTTGTAACTATAGTAGAGGCAGCAAAAACAGTATCGCCAACAAGAATTAGGAATCATCTTCTAAGGCTCAGGTGAAGGAACACAACTGTACCACATCAGCAATACCATGAGAAGGAGGAGTGTTGACCTCACCCCAGAGCCTAGAATAGCAATCCCTTGAGGGGCAGGTAGATTGAGAGCTACTGAGTTTGTAAGAGTATATTCAGCATTTAGCTTGAACATTGGAACAGGAAAATTATAAATGGCCTTAAGTAGCAAAGAGTGTTTTTACCACGTACCTAATATATAAATACCTTTCCCTGAGGAGATAAACTCCCAAGCGCAGACTTGCCAGCACATCCTGACTCTAAGGCAGGTGCCCTACTCAAGCCCTTCAAAGTGGACTGTCAGCATTTTGTATGATAGTTTTGTGCAAAGTACAGTTGCTAAAATCATGATCCAGAAAATAAGATGCTGTATTATCTCTGCTTTTCCAGCCAGATCATCTGTGCACTCTGCCATCACTTGGGAGCACCTCCCAAGGCTTGAAAGATTTCCTGCCTTCCCTAAGGACTATGCCTATAAGGAAGACAAGTGGGAAGGTAGTAAAGTACCTCATCCAAGGTCACACAGCAGTTCAGAGCAGTGACATTTGGATCTACTTTCTCATAGAAGATCAAAATAGGTAGACTGCTCCACATTTTAAACCATCTCAGTGACTATGCATGATGATATACTTCTCTCCCTCCAAGCCTGGCTTCTCTGTAAACAACACCAAAGTAGAGGTTAACTTTAGACATAAACCTCTGACTAGGATTGGATCCAGCTGCACCCAGATTCCTCTCTGGAGAAGTTTTGAAAGCAAGGATGTGCCTCCCAAATCTTGTAACTCAACAGGAGGGTTTCCCCAACACTTTCAGCTGACCCTGTCCTCCACACAGTAAATAATTAGGTGAACACTGCCACCAAACCTTGTTAAATCATTGTCTCATGATGATGGAACTTTGTTGAATCACTTTGTGACCTCAGTAAAACATACTGTTTTACTCTCCTACAAGTGAAGGACATCATTCCTCACTCATCCACAGCACTATGCTACCTAACAAAAGGAAAGAATTAAGTAATTTATTGGCTGATATACCAGAGCATTTTTTTTTTTTTTAAGATTAGCTGCTACAGGCACTATCACCATCATCTGATTTTTTGAAAACTATATAGAGTCATAGAGTCATTAAGGTTAGAGGGGACCTCTAGAGATATCTAGTCCAACCCCTCTGCACATGCAGAGCACGTGGCACGGGGTGGCATCCAAGCGGGTTTTGAAGATCTCCAGAGAAGGAGACTCTAAAACCTCTCTGGGCATCTCAAAAAACTGTCTGGAATCCAGCCAGCAGTGGGCTCCAGAAGGTCGTTCTTTGGGGGGGACGGGGGAGAGGACGACTCCCTATGCAACAGACTCTTTCTATTCAATAACATAATTCACAGGTAACTGTCCTTTGCATTCAGCAATGTCAATAAACATACAGAGATTGAAGAAAAGTCAGCACTTAGCGATTGTTCCAATCGTGCACATGTAACACTCTTCTTTCCATGTTCCAGAGACACCTTTTTTTGGTTCTGATGAAAGCTTCTATCAGAAAGCTAGTCTTCAAGAAATGATGTCATAGGTCTACCATTGGTGCTGCATTTACAGCAGCTGAGGATCTGGAAAATCCTCTGTTGTTCTCTGAACAACAAAAAACCCATCATGCCCTTCTAAAAAAAAAAAAAAAAAATCACCCCTTCAGAGACACAGCCTTGTAAAGAGAATAATTACCCTACTAACATGACAGTCAAAATTAGCTAAGTTCTATCAATTTTGGAATTCAAAGAGTCAAATAAAGATGATATTCAGAGTGCAAGTGTCTACAGGTGACTTTCAACTGAACCCCAAACTTACAAATATGAACGCTCCATTCTTCACGGGTTTAGTTGGGAGGGTCACATTTCTTAGCTGTAGTAGACTCATTTCTCCACATGGTGTAGCCCTTTGAGAGATGCTGAGCCAAGTATTAGGTTGTAGATTTAGAAATACTCCCTTCCATTTTTATCACAATTTACCTCCATCTATCCAGCCAGCATCTTGCCAATACTTCTTGTTTACAAGGGACAGACACACACATCCAGCCTTCAGGACAACCTTCACTTTTCCCCAGGTTAGAGTTTGCACTATGTTTTCTAGGTTAGTTATGACATTAGGAATTAATTTTACGCAGCCAACTCATGCAAGTGTTCAGCAAATGGACAAACAAAGGAGGACAAAACAAACCAACGCACACCTGAAAGAACATGTAAGAAGGAAGGGACAGAGGTGGGGAAAAGAGAAGCAGTTACTAAACTTATTAAAAAAAAACTTCGCTCTCCCCATCCCCCCTTTTAACAAACATTTATGGTTTGAAACTAGAGCAAGCATTCTGACAATTTCTGACTTCACCTGTTGACATGTGTCACGTGTTTAATCCAGCAAATAGTGCTTCCAGCTGACACTCCCCACAACCATCTAAAATCCACGTTTTTGTTCTTTTGGC